GGCCCACTACCTCCACTGCCGTCTGTCACATTGAGGGTTTTAGAAGAAAAAGAGGGGTACAGATAAAAACTATCTGCATTTTCAAGTAGTATGATTATATATTTGGGGAAAAAAACAGGTTGGGCACAGTGGCTCACCCCTGTAATCCCAGCACTTGTAGGAGGCCGAGGTGGGTGAATCACTTGAGGTCAGGAGTTTGAGACCAGCCTGGCCAACATGGTGAAACACCGTCTCTACTAAAAATATAAAAATCAGCTGGGCGTGATGGCACATGCCTGTAATCCCAGCTACTCAGGAGGCCAAGGCTGGAGAATCACTTGAACCTGGGAGGCAGAGGTTGCAGCAAGCCTAGATCATGCCACTGTACTCCAGCCTGGGCGACAGAGCAAGACTCTGTCTCAGACAAAAAAAAAAAAAAAAAAAAAAGGAAAAGAAAAAAACAAAGTTAATGGGGAAATTATTATAAACAATAAGAGAACTTAAAAATATTAGTTTAAGAAAAAATGTGATGACCCTCATATATACAAACAATAATCAGAAGTTCTAATAGGTACATAGAAAAAAGAGAAAAAAACATTAAGCGCTCCTGCAAAACACAGAAGGAGACTTAAATGAATGAAAATACATGCCACACTCTAGGATAGGAAGACTCAATACTATAAAGAGAAAATTCTGCCTAATTCACAAGTTAAATGCAATCTCAATAAAATATTATCAAGTTTTGGGTTTTCTTTTTCTGGTATTAAGTAAGTTGTTTATAAAGCTAAATGAAAAAAAAAACAGGTAAAATATCCAAGAAAACCCTTAAAAAGGCAAGGAATACAGAGGTGGATATGGCTAGCTCTACCAGATATTAAAGTATGCTACAAAATGTAACATACAAAATATTCTGCAAAATGAGGGTAACAGGTGGAAGAGACAGGAATGGTAGCTAATCTTTTGTGAATATACCCTGTTTTGCAGTTTTAACTTTGGATCCATGTAAACCTTTAATATAAGATAAAATTAAATTTGAAAAAAAAATCTAAAAATTGAAAACAAAGTAAAACAAATGAACCTGACTATTCCATGGGCTAGAGGTCTAACAATGGAGAGGGATGATTTCAAGAGACATTAAAATATGGCTCTGCATCCATAGAAATATATATGTAATAAAGAAAAAAGGCCGGGCGCGGTGGCTCACGCCTGTAGTCCCAGCACTTTGGGAGGCCGAGGTGGGTGGATCATGAGGTCAAGAGATCGAGACCATCCTGGTCAACATGGTGAAACCCCGTCTCTACTAAAAATGCAAAAAATCAGCTGGGCATGGTGGCGCGTGCCTGTAATCCCAGCTACTCGGGAGGCTGAGGCAGGAGAATTGTCTGAACCCAGGAGGCGGAGGTTGCGGTAAGCCGAGATCGTGCCATTGCACTACAGCCTGGGTAACAAGAGCGAAACTCCGTCTCAAAAAAAAAAAAAAAAAAAAAAGAAAAAGAAAAAGAACTGTAAAATTGATTTAGTTTAAAAATTCATTTCAGAAAGCAAGGATGTTATTAAACATTACTGTTTATATTAAAATAATTCAACAGCCAACCTGAAAAAAGTTTTTGTTGGCCAAATATGGGACAACTTAAGATTGCAAAGGAATTATAATAACTGAAATAGATAGAAACACTCAAATATATCAAAAATTCATAAATTTTTAATAATACTGGGGCATTTTTTGCCAGAAAACAGACCCTGAAATCTCATCAAGTTCCAAATACCCAGTTATAGGAAACATGGAAAGTGAGAAATGCTATTGGGACAAACCAGCCTGATTTCTTCGCTAAGTAAATTACAAGGGGAAAAAAAAGAGGGAGCGAGAATGAACTAATTAAAGGAGGTTTCAGAGACATCTCAGTCAAATACAGTGCTTAGACCTTGTTTAAATCTTCATTTAAAAACAAACAAATAGAAACAATTGTTTAATAAATGAAAGGCTCTGGCAAATATAAACAATGACAGAATATTTGATGGCATTAGGAAGCATAGTGTTCTTAAGAAGAATGTTGTGTAGTTTTAATCATGGAAGGATTTATTATCTGTTAGCAATACATACTGAAATATTTTCTGATGAGATGATGTGACATTTGGGATAGGAACACAGTGTGACTTTCATTGGCCCTAGGCACTTTTGCTTTCATGGGCCCCTCACAACAGATTTTCATGGGCTCTAAAAAGTTCATTAGTTTCTGATACAAGAAAAAAAATTAGAATATTTTAGCTAATCTTACATGTCCATTCTCTTCTTCTGATTTAAAAAAAAATTAAAACATTTTTATAGGTCCTTGAGGGTTTAACAAGGCTCCCAGGTGACTCTAATGTATAATAAGTTTGATGTACCATACCAGTAGTTTTTTTTTTTTTAATACTTTTTAAAAAAATAATTTATTTATTTTACTTTAGGTGCACTATATCTGGCATTTCTCCCCATGTTATCCCTCCCCACCCTCCCCACCCCCCATTGTCTCTCCCTTACCCCCACAACTGTCCCCTGTGTGTGATGCTCCTCTCCCTGAGTTCACGTGGTCTCATTGTTCAACATTCACCTATGAGTGAGAACACACGGTGCTTGGCTTTCTGTTCTTGGGTCAGTTTGCTGAGAATGATGGTTTCCAGATTCATGCAAGTCTCTACAAGTGATTTTACCCTCCAGAGAACATTTGGCAATGCCTGAATACACTTTTGGTTGTTAGACTGACATAAGAAGGGGGTGTGTGTGTGTATGTGATGGGGGTGGGATACTACTGGCATCTAGTAGCTATGGTTGCTGTTAAGGATCCTACAATGCATAGGACAGCTCCCCATAGCAAAATCCAAACGTCAATAGTGCGTGTGTGGAGAAACCCTGATCTTTCCCTCCCCACTTTCTTTCTTCCTTTCTTCTTCCCTTCTTCTTTTCTTCCTTCTTTTCCTCTATTCTTCCTTCTGATATTCTTCCTTTCTCTCATTCTCTTTCCTCTATCGTCTATCTGTCTGTGTGTCTGTCTGTCTATCCGTCTATCATCTATCTGTCTTCTTAGCTCCCATGTATTCCTCTACAGGCATCAGAGAACTCAAAAAGCCACCAAGTGTTCCTTTTTTGCATTTTTATTTGTTCAATTACAGATTACTCTCTCCTTTTATCTATTTAATAACTCCTCATAAAAAAGTTGATAAATAGCTAAAAGAAGTATTATTTTATTTCTGGCCCCAAAAGGGTCAATTATCTCCCTGGGAATAGGAGGGTGCTACTCAAATTGTAGGTAATTACTGCCATTGCCTGAAGTTACAGCTCTTGGCCATTCTGCATAGGAGCTTCCACATGAAGGACCAAATAGCCTGGAATCTTGATTTTGGCTTGAAAGTTTCCAGTGGGGTTGAGGCTTGAAAATATCTTGGTTCATACAGGAGATATCAGGTACAACTCTGAGTTGCTTCTCAAGAACACGGAAGTGAACATATCTGCTAAGAGTTCAGCTGCAAACCTCATACATAATGGGTTTAAGCAAAGATATATAAAGCCAGCTTAAAGATCTTGGGATTAACCAATTAGATGGGATTCTAACCTGACTGATCATATCAATGAATCAAAAAATTATATCTGTCAGAAGGTTTGTGGGGCAAAAGTAGTGAGGAAAATGTAAAGCTACTAAGGCAAACATCGTCAGTGCCCAGCTAACACTTTCCAGGAGATTGGTTGCCCAGAAAAGTCAACATGAATGTTTAGTCTGCCCGATGGACCATTACTTCCATAGAGGAGGCACTCCTGGTTTTAAGAGTCTGAAGCCATTAACTGTCTCAGTTATCCAGCTGTAATTCAGGCAATCACAGGACCTTTCTGATGACTGTCTTCTCTGTGGTTTGCCCACAAGAAAATGCCCTAGTGAAGCTGATTTGACTGCCAAGTTTGCTTGATAGTTGTGTTTTTCACTGAATATTAATCAATTGGCCTTTTAGTTTGTAGGCACCAGTCTCCGGTAAATTTGCTTAGTTACCCTTAATTGGTGGAATCAACTCTGGGCCATTGACAACACAGAACTTCTAGACTTTCAAGGTAGAGTAAAGGCCAGAGCATGGACTACAAGAAACATCTCCTGAAGTCTGCTTCTGGCATTGAGCCTATTGTCTTCCTTTGGTTATTCTGAATGTGTATTTTCTTCCAACTTTTACATTCCCAAGGTGCTCAAAAAGCCTTTGTGATAGATTGAAAAAGTGGCCACCATACTTTGCAGTTTCCCTCACAGAGACATGTAGTCTATCTCCTCTCCCTTTAAATCTGTAATGACCATGTGACTTGCTTTGACCTAGACTGTGGAGGAAGTACTTGTGTGAGTTCTAAGCCTACGCTGTAAAGAGGTCTTATGGGGTTCCATTCTTGCATTCTTTGAACCCTAAGATTCACTGTGTGTGTAAGTCCAAGCTGTCCTGCTGGATGATGAGAGCCGTATGGCCTCACCTCTCCTCTCATTCCAGACCACAGCCAGTCAACCCCTAGAAGAACCACTCTGCTCATGGGTAGCCAACCACAAATGCTTGAGAAAGTCCAGGCAAGACCAACAGAAGAACTACCTAGATTAGTTCAGACCAACTTGCCAGTACTCAGAATCATAAGCTAAATAAATGCTTCTTGTTTTAAGCTACTAAATTTTGCATTATTCTGCTATGCAACAGTAGATAATTGATACGACACTATTTTCATTTTTATAACTCTCAATTACCCTGAACTTACTGTCATAGTTTTGTCTTTCAGAAGACATGGGTTTTGCCTCTTGACATACAGAGTTGGAATTTATTTTGGACTTTCATATGGCTCCAGCAGAAGAGCTTCAATGCTCCAGCAGAAGAAATAGCCCTAGTTTCTTCCATCAAGATGCTAAGATGAGAGGGTTGGGTACATTGTAAAGAAAATTTTGGGTTTATCAATATTATTTTGAAAAGGAAGAGGAGGATTAAATGCATTTTTTAAAAATCACATTTTTTGGACACAGATTTCTGACCTTCAGCCGGCGGTCTGGATCTCCGCTGCATAGAGAATTTACGGATACTTTGAATGATTTCCAGGCTGGGCTTAAGTTATTCATCACAACCTGGGAAAAGAAAGAGAGGAGTGGTGAGTGGGGGAGAAATGCTTGACATTTTCACATTTCCACATTAAAACTGCTTGAGGAAACTGTTGTGATGCCTATGAAAAGAACAATAGCCTGGAAGAGGTGCCTTAATAAAAACCTGATGTAGTAAATCTTTTAAGGGTGCCCACTAAGCAGGTCATTATGAGCAGAACTCCTGCGGTCACTGTCCCAGCTGTTGTTTCATGAATAATGCCAATAATATTTCCCAGTATGTGGATGCTGAGAATAATCCCTTCTTTATCAAAAGGGGATGAAAATAAGGAGGTAGGGTTGCCTCTGGCCATTGATAGAAGACTCTCAGTTCTGTAGGACTGTCAGTCTTATGGTATAAATTCTCTTCTTTTGGGGTCAGCAAAGGTAAAGACTCTTTGCAGGGGTGAAGGGTACAGCAAGACAATTCTGCTGCTAAATAATTGCATGGTCTGGTAAATTGTGACCTTGAGTCACATCAGATTGCAAGTCAAAAGAAGTTTCTATAATAAAAATCCCAGGACCACACTTATACTAGCTTATCACCAACTCGATTAGAATATCCTGGAAAGGCAGGACAGGGCAGTTCTTAAGATTATAAACTATGACTATAACATAGGAAAACCCTTTTAAAACCACTTTACTAACCACAAACGTGGTTAATACTGGCCTAAGAATCTATATGAGTCAAATCTTATCCTGCCATCACTATGGTTCAAATAATTGAATTTGGTTCAGAATATATGGGTAGTTGCTCTGTGCCTAGCATTGTACTGTGTGCTCGAGGGCAGGGGTTCCCAAAGTGTGGTTCCTGGACGAGCAGGAGCTCCATCACCTGAAAACTTCTTAAAAACACAAATTTCTAGGCCCCACCCAGACCTACTGACAGACACTCTGGAGGTAGGCCTTTCTGAGGCACAAAGTTTCAGAACCACTGCTCTAGGAGATATACAAATAAAGTTAAACGGAATTCTGTCATATTGATTTTTCTACTTGGGAAGACTTTAGTTAGTGGAAGTCCTAGAGTTTTTATTATTATTATTTTTTAGATGGAGTTTCACTCTCGTTGCTCAGGCTGGAGCACAATGGCATGATCTCGGCTCACCACAACCTCCACCTCTTGAATTCAAGTGATTCTCTTGCTTCAGCCTCCCAAGTAGCTGGGATTACAGTCATGCACCACCACACTCAGCTAATTTTGTATTTTTAGTAGAGATGGGGTTTCACCATGTTGGTCAGGCTGGTCTAGAACTCCTGACCTCAGGTGATCCACCCGCCTTGGCCTCCCAAAATGCTGGGATTACAAGCATAAGCCACCACACCTGGCCTAGAATTTTTTTAAAAAATGAATTATCGGGCTGGGCACGGTGGCTCACGCCTGTGATCCCAGAACTTTGGGAGGCCGAGGCAGGTGGATCACGAGGTCAAGAGATCGAGACCATCTTGGTCAACATGGTGAAACCCCATCTCTACTAAAAATACAAAAAATCAGCTGGGCATGGTGGCGCGTGCCTGTAGTCCCAGCTACTCAGGAGGCTGAGGCAGGAGAAGGAGAATTGTCTGAACCCAGGAGGTGGAGGTTGCGGTGAGCCGAGATCGCGCCATTGCACTCCAGCCTGGGTAACAAGAGCGAAACTCCGTCTCAAAAAAAAAAAAAAAAAAAAAAAAAGAATTATCTATCTAAATAACATAATTAATTTATAAGTGATTCCCCCTTCTATCGGATTCCTTAATATAACTAGATCCTAGACTCATTATTAAATTTCTTCTAATGCATTGAAGTGGAGAAATAATGTTTCTGTGTGACTCTGTCATGTGTCCTAATACCCTGAGGATGATTAAAGTGATAACAAAAAGGAAAATTAGGTAAAATTGTTTGGGTTAATATAAATTTCCCAACTTTATATGAAAATGCTAAAAGTGAAGATGTTTCAACAGTCTTGAAAAACTCAATTGCAACTAGAAATTTTCTCTGAAATTAAAATCTTTATGTGTGGGTGTGTGTATGGGTATACACATATGGTTGTGTGTGTGTACCTGCAGGCTACCCACAAGTGAACAGTTTTGCCTGGTCTTTATTTTGTATCTACTGAGAAAGCAAGAGAAATCAATGTCATATTGCTTGACTCATTGGAAAACCTTGCAATCATGTTTCTTGTGAGACTTTAGGAGCACCTCAGCATTAAAGGGGGGAAATTATAGAAATTCTTGAGAGTAGAATTTACCCCTATCAATAATGAGAAGAATGCTCTTGGGAGCAAAGGAGAGGAGGTTCTGGGAGAGAAGTACAGCAATAGTTATCATTTCAATATTCTATTTTTTTGGTTACCTGTTACCTGAAGAATTTATCCTTTCTTTGTGTTACAACTATTCCACTTATACTGTTTTGGTTATTATAAAATGTATAATTAATTATTGTTGACTGTAGTCACCCTATCGTTCTGTCAAATACTAGATCTTATTCATTCTATCTAACTAGATATTTTGTACTCATTAACCATTCCTACTTCCCTCCTCCCCAACTACCCTTCCCAGCCTCTGCTATCCCTCATTCTATTTTCTATCTCCATGAGTTCAATTGTTTTAATATTTAACTCCCACAAATAAGTGAGAACATCTGAAGTTTGTCTTTCTGTGCTTGGCTTATTTTTCTTAATACAAAGATCTCCAGCTTTATCCATGTTGTTACAAATAATTTGTTAGAAATAATTTGTAACAACATGGACAAAACTGGAGTTTTATACAGTGGAGTACACTGAATAGTACTTTCAGGAGTACTGACAAGTATTCTACTGTGTATATGTGCCACATTTTCTTTATTCATTCATCTGTTGATAGACTTGTAGGTTGCTTCCAAATCCTAGCTATTATGGATAGTGCTGCAATAAATATAGGAGGGCAGATATCTCCTGTATATACTGATTTCCTTTCTTTTGGGTATATATCTATATTGGCAGTGTGAATCCTGGGTCATACGGTTGTTCTATTTTTAGTTTTTCAAGAAACCTCCAAACTGTTTTCCACAATGATTATACAAATTTACATTTCCACCAACAGTGTATGATGGTTCCCTTTTCTCTGCATCATTGCCAGTATTTGTTATTGCCTGTCTTTTGATTTTATCCAAAAAACCCAATCTTAAATGGAATAATATCTCATTGTAGTTTTGTTTTGCATATTTCTGATGATCAGTGATGTTGAGCATGTTTTCACATACCTATTTGTTCTGGGAGAGAAGGTTCTGGGAGAGAATCTTCTATTTGCCATCTGTATGTCTTCTTTTGAGAAATGTTTATTCAGATCTTTTGCCCATTTCCAAACTGAATTATTAGATTTTTTCTCATAGAATTGTTTGAGCTCCTTACAAATGTTGGTTATTAACCCCTTGTCAGATGGATAGTTTGCAAATATTTTCTCTCAACTGTGGACTTTCTCTTCACTTTGTTGACTGCTTCCTTTGCAGTGCAGAAGTTTTTTTTTAACTTGAAGTGATCCCATTTGTCCGTTTTTACTTTGGTTGCTTGTGCTTGTGAGGTATTATTCAAAAAATCTTTACCCAGTCTAATTAGGGAAGAGTTTCCCTAATGTTTTCTTTTAGTATTTTCACAGTTCAAAGTTTTAAATTTATGTCTTTAATCCATTTTGATTTGATTTTTGTATATGGTAAGAGATGGGGGTCTAGTTTCACTCTTCTACATATTGATATCCAGTTTTCCCAGCACCATTTATTCGAGGGACTATTCTTTCCACAATGTCTGTTCTTGGCACCTTTGTCAAAAATGAGTTGAATTTACATGTATGAATTTGTTTCTGGGCTCTCTATTCTGTTCCATGGGTGTATGTGTCTGTTTTTATGCCAGTACCATGAGGTTTTGGTTACTATCGCTCTGTAGTATAAAGTCAAGTCAAGTAATGTGAGTCCTCCAGTTTCGTTCTTTTTGCTTAGGATAGCTTTGACTATTCTGGGTCTTTCATAGTTTCATATAAATTTTAGGATTGTGTTTTCTAGTTCTGTGAAGAATGTCATTGGTATTTTGGTAGGCATTGCATTGACTCTGTAGATTGCTTTGGGTAGTATGCACATTTTAATAATATTAATTCTTCCAATCCCTGAACATGGAATATTTTTCCATTGTATTGTGTCCTCTTCAGTTTCTTCCCTTAATATTTCATAGATTTCATTGTAGAGATCTTTCACTTCTTTGGTTAAGTAAATTCCTAGGTCTTTTATTTTATTTGTAGCTATTATAAATGGGATTACTTTCATGATTTCTTTTTCAGATTGCTGCTGGAATATAGAAATGCTATTGATTTTTGTATGTTGATGTTGCATCTGCAGCTTTACTGAGTTTATTAGTTTTAATAGTTTTCTGGTAGAGTCTTAGGTTGTTCCAAATATAAGATCTTATCATCTGCAAACAAGGATAAATGGACTTCTTTGTTTTCAGTTTGAATGTCCTTTATTTCCTTCTCTTGTCTGATTGCTCTAGCTAGGACTTCCAGTTCCATGTTGAATAACAGTGATGAAACTGACATCCCTGTCTTTTTCCAGATCTCAGAGGAAAGGCTTTCAGTTTTTCCCCATTCAGTATGATACTAACTGTGGGCTGTTGTATATGGATTTTGTTGTGTTGAGGTATGTTCCTTCTATACTCAGTTTTTTGCTTTTTTTTTTTTTTTATCATGAAGGGACGCTGAAAATTTCTTTTTTTTTCCCCCATTTATTTATTTTTTGCATTTTAGGTTTTGGGGTACATGTGAAGAACATGCAAAATTGTTGCATAGGAACACACGTGGCAGTGTGATTTGCTGCCTTCCTCCCTATCACCTACATCTGGCATTTCTCCCCTTGCTATCTCTCCCCAGCTCCCCATCCCCCACCGTCCCTCCCCTATTTCCCCGCAACTGACCCCAGTGTGTAGTGCTCCCCTCCCTGTGTCCATGTGTTCTCATTGTTCAACACCCGCCTATGAGTGAGAACATGCGGT